AAGTTGAATATTTCCAAATTAGAAATGTGTCATTTATTTTGAAACAGACTAAAAAGGAAAATACCTCATTTAATATGAAACAGAGGAGTAATATTTATTCACGCCAATTTTATCTGTTATACTTCTCATCTTGCAACGATATCCAGGACACTGGACATAATCTATAAACATTAGTCATTCGTGATTTTAGTTCTTTATTTGGTCCAATATTTGACTTTTTTAGATATAAAAAAGAATTAATTTTTTTTTCCCAAAGTTGTTCTTGGAGTAAAGAGCCTAGGAGTATTGTGTTGTATTTTTAATGAACAAAATTAGGTTAATATGATAATTTCATTATCAATTAATGCTAAAAGTTGATTCCTATGATGTAACAACAATTAAAAAACCAGTTAATTGTGAACTGGAGGGAGTATCATTAAACAAACATTTTCCGGATTTGAAGAATTTCAAATTTATTTACTTTTTATCAATTTGAAATTTTATATGATACTATTAATGTTCAATATATAATTACTTCTATTTAATTTATGTGACGTAATTTGACTCGGCGTGAGTTTAATGGAAAAAAAAAGAATACTTTTGAACTTTTTGTCTTAAAAGCAGAAAGAGTAAAGGCTTTGTTGGACCATGACATTTGTATAAACTATAAAAACCTTTCTCAATAAGTTGTAAAATAAAAATTTAAAGTAAATTATATCTAAATATAAAAAATGTCTAATACTTCTTAAAACAGATTATAAAAAAGTGTGTCACATAACTGAAATGAGAAAAGTAATAAAAATTTTTATTATTCTTTTCCGATACAGCTCATATAAAACTAGAACCAAACTAAAGTCATAAATTCCTTACGGTAATGGTGTCACATAAATAAATCGGAGATACTATTTAAAAAGTTAAATTTAATTTATCAAACTTTCCTTTAGTATCCCCTATATATAGTGCATAAATTTTTGTCACAGAGAAAAATAAGAATAAATAGTCCAAGTCTTCGAGATGGCTTTTTTTTTCTCCCTGCGTTTAAACGCATGCCACTAATTAGGAATACGTATTTTTCTTTAAGTTTTTAATTACTAAGGTAATATTATGATTTAGTATATGATACTAAATATTTATATTACGAAACTACCCTTCATTTTCCCTTTTCATGATTATAATGAACCATAAGTTTCATGCATGTTAGGTAGCTAGTGTAGCAAAATAGTTAAAGGGTTAGAACAACAATAACCAGTAAAATCTTATGAGTGGGTCTGGGAGGGTAGTGTGTACGCAGACCTTACCCCTACCCGAAGGGGTAGAGAGGTGTTTCCGAAAGACTCTCGGCTCAAAGAATAATAAAAAGAAGAACAAAGGAGAGGATATTAGATTCATCACGGAGATCATAGGAAATAAGACATAAAATGCAGAGAAAAATGCAAAGCAAAAAACGGTGGTTAGTAAATAGATCCAACGTCGAAAAGAAAAATAGTAAGACACGACATTGCCCTAGCCCTCTAGACAAAACCCTACCGACTAGCTCACAAAGGTACAAAGTAACGTAAGACTCACTACTACCGCCTAGCTACAACCGTAATACGTGAGGGTTAGAAGATTAACAAATTTAGTACAATAACATACATCATGAGCTATAAAACTTTTTATATTGTCTTTTTCTTTTCCTTTGATCAGTTCACAAATTAAGGCACGTGGCAATGTGAAAAAATCTATTTTTTTTCGTGGTGGGGAAAGGGGGGGGGGGGGGGGCCCCCCCCCCCCCCCCCCCCAAATTTTTGGTCCTTTGTAAGACACTCTTTCTTTTCTTTAAATAAAGTAGTTGGTTTGTCCTTGATCGTATGCCTTTGGCCTTTCCTTCTTTTTTAAATTTCTTGGATTTTCTCGTAATAAGTCCCTGACTTTTGGTAGTTAACTTGAGCGAGGTCAGATTTGACCTGCTAATTCGATCGAGGTCAGATTTGACCTACTAATTTGAGCGAGGTTGAATTTCATCTCGTTAATTCGAGCGAGGTCGAATATTGTCTTGTTATTTCGAGCGAGGTCAGATTTGACCCGCTAATTCAAGTGAGGTCAAATTTTGTCTAGAAAATTAATTCAAGTGAGAATATGCATATTTCCTTTGCGTCGGCGTGGTTGTGTGCATTTGGCGTCGTGTAGGAATGTCCTACTACTTTGTTTATTCATTGGAGGATATTACACATTTCCATTCGATCCGTGCATACATTCGAGGAGTCCCAGTCTGTCTAGTCCCTTCATTGCTCGGCCTATAGAAGTAGTCGATAGGCAGAGCGATGAATGTCTTGCTCAAGCTCCGGGACGTCTCAACGTGCGGACGAGATCGAATTTCAGTTAATTATACCGTTGCATAGTTGCTTTGGCGAGCGCGTAGGTGAGTTTTACGCACTTGTGTTCTATCTGCATGCTGGAGAGATTCACATTTATCCGGACCGGTGACCCAGTCCGGTCTACACAGGTCTTTCCCTTTATGGCGTTTAAGCACCGACTTGTCGGATAGGGAGGTTTACTCGGCTGTTACCTGCATGATGGTATGGTGCGGAATGTTTTGCTTGTGCGTTGTTTTGATGGCGTTTGTTCCTTGTTCGCACATCTGGGAGAACGTCCCTGTTCTCATCCTCATCCAGAAAGAAAGATAACGAGTTAAACCCAAACGAAATCGTTTGTTACCTTGACCTGATTGGTTGGCGTGGGGAGAGGGACGTTGTAGAACGAACTCTTTGCCCCATACTCGAATGTTGGCTTTAGATTGGATCTCAGCCTCGCATTTAGCTTTGCCGCTAGTTGAGTCTGGACATCTTGGCAACTTCACCCGTCGGGATCTCGAGTTCGAGTCTCGGTCCGGTCCGATCCGATCCATGGTGCACAAGAATGAGGGAAACATAAATTATACTTGGTATATACGGGCACGACAAACTTGTTATTTCAAAGAATTACACAATAGGTTATCGTCCCTTCCCGAGGGAGGGGGTGGTGTGCATAAAGTATAGATTAGTGTCTAACGTAAATATAGCCAGTAGGATTGTGGACGTGCTCCGTGCGTAGTGTCCATAATCCTACTTTGACAACTCATACTCACGATGTACCAAACCCGTCAGTACAGCAAGACGTGACTTTCGTACGGATATCAAACATGATTTCGATTTCATGCAAAGATCCGACCTCGGTCGGTTCGATTATTTCAAAATCTTGCCTACAAATTTCTCAAGTTGGTGTTTGCAATGAGAGGGCGAAGCTACAACAGCCGGGAACTCTGACTGACATTAGATCTCAAGGAAACTAAAATTTAGCTAGAAAAATCCCCACAGACGGCACCAAATTGTTTGACTAAAAAGTATTAGGCCTTATTAGTTAAACCAATTCGATAAAAAGATTTGGGGCAAATTTTGCCAAAGATAATTAATTCTAGATCTGAGATAAATGATAGGAATGAACAAGCACAACTAAACATAAATTTTGATTACAACATCGATTGATTCTCTTGATGTAAGAAACAGGTAGTTGCTTCAATAATATCGAATGACAATGAGGAATAAATAAAAGGAAAAGAATCACCGTATTCAAACAAGATTGCCTTCCATCCATTTGATAAGGAGTACCAATATGCATTTCCACAGAACTGTCTCGGGTAGATTTACATAGCCCAGTAACTACTATAGCTAATTCACGCTAGTGCACCAATATCGTGTAATCAAATTTCCTTAAATCATTGTCCTACATATTGTACATTACACCAGCTCAGATATTTAACTCATAAAGGAGCACAATCCCGCTCCAAAAGAATGAACTCCCTGCTAAATGTAATGAAATCATACAACAAACAGAAGACACTGTCATCGATAGTACCATTGGCAATGATTCTCAGGCCACAATACCTCCGAATTTGTACAGCACACAGAAAAGTACTTCATCACCTTCGAGCATTGCATTCAGTGTTCGTTCTACTAACACGGCATTATCAACCACGACTCTACAGATAACCAAGTCAGCAACATGTACACAAATTTCGGTCCCCACGTCCTTCAATAATCTAGTTTTGTAGCCTGTTCCTCCATAATACAAAATCACAGTATCTCTCAGAATATCTAGGAGAATGGTAATTTGAGTTGTTGGTACAAGTTGCAACTGTCTTCTGTCCACCTTAATCGAGTCACAATCATTCT